CGCGGCTAAGCAAGTGGAGTTTCCCCCTCTCAAGAACGTCAGCATCATATCGGACGTGCTTTGTGATGAGGAATACAAAGCCAACACGGCTAAGGTCAAGAAAGTGAGGAATCCCGTCCTAAGGTATACACTCAAGCTGTTAGCAAACACTTTCAGCGGGCGGGCCGTGTCTCCTACGGTGACAAAGACCTTGTGCTTGCTTTTCCAAGGGATCAAAGGGATACTGTGCAGCAGCGAAGAAGAGAACCACGATCCGCTGCAAGATGACCTTGGGAATGATGTTAACTACGGGTGTATTCTAGCATCTTCCTTGGTGAAGTACAAGGCATACGCTCTGAGGTGCAAGACGAATTCAGCTTACATTGGAGGTTTCCTCACGCCACTCTTTATCCAAGCCGGTGTACCTCTTCAACGCTTCGAGCCTTGCGCGGATAGAGCATTTATGGACGAGACCTACATGCACAATACAGATAGCTTGGGACCTACGCTATCTCCAGGATTCTTTGCTTATCTGTTCTACAATGAAGAAAAGAAGAAGGGCGTGTGCATCCTACCCAACGTTGATGAGACACACTTGGATAGCATCTGTACAATCGAGTTTTGCCCAATCCACGAAGAGTGCTACGCCCCACTTGGTGCAACCATAATGCCTATTCAGTCCGCACGTGAGCAGTCATAGTCGCCACCCTCAGATGGCGTAATGCCAGCCCACTTTGAGCTTCCCCGGATGGACTTTGAACCGCGGACCAAGGCGGAGAAGTTTCTTGCTTCGGTGGTGGAGGTGCAGCGAAAGATAACTAAGTGGCAAGGGAAGATGATCAAAAAGCTTGCCAAGAAAGTCAAGGCGCTTCAAGGGAGCTCATCCGCGAAATCTAAGCAGTCCATGAGTGTAGAGGTTGAGCAGCCCGAGAAGAGGAGGAGATCGACTGGCGCTGTAGTCATCCGTGAACCTCAAGACAGCACGCAACAAGCACGTAATTCCGTCCATGGTTTCCCGACCGCGGATAAAGGCAAAGACATAGCACGTTGCTCTTCTAGCAAGAGCAGCTCCGCTGGAACATCCTCAAGTTCCAGCCGAGTTTAGCTCCAAGGTACCAACAACCAACCCTTGTATATACCGCTCATAGTTTCTTTGTTTTTGCTTGGTGTTTTTGAACTCTCTCGAATTTGTTTGCCACCGGGACGGTGTCATTCAAGTTTGGGGGAGTGTGTGTGTGTTATTTGACATGTTTATTTTGCTCTTATTTTCTATTTGCATCCTTGAGTCTTGCATTACATTTCATTGCATCTAAGGCATAGAAAATAACAAAAAAAATTGGTAAAATTTTTAAAAATTTTCAAAAAATTCATGTAGTTGCATTCACTTTGTTGAACATTTTAGGATTGAGTCTAGAATTTTTAAGCATCTAGGTTGTTTACATTTGCATAAGGGGTTAAAGTTTTTCTTAAAAAAGTGTTTTAAGCTCATGAATTGTTTCAATGCCCTAGTTAGTAGTTGTTTGATGCTTTGCTCACGCTTTGAAAGTAAGTCTTTACCATGCTTGGATCACTTGTTTTGATTTTCGTGGCTTGACTTGAACATTCATGATTTGAAACTTGTCCTAATAAGTAAGAACCCTAATCTGATTTTTAAATATCATTCTTATGCATTTGAAAATGAACACATGGATCTTATACATATTTAGGCTCTCTTCCTTCTTTTACCATTCTTTGTGAGCCTAAGTAGAACTCATACCATTACCCTTACCTTTCTTTCAAGCCAAGTGTTCTTGTGTGACATCATTGTGAGGCCTCTTTTCGGTTTGAACTTAATATAACGTGTTACGTTTAGGCGACATGATTAGGTTCTCATTTGATTGCTAGCTTTGCATTTTGAAGCTAGTTTTAGGCTTAGGATAGGTTTGGGATTCATAAGGGGTGTTTATATGCTTTCGGTTTCAAAAAGTTTTGGTGATTGAAGTGAATGAAAGGTTTTAAGTGAAAGGCTTTGTTTTCAAAAATAAAAAGCTCTAAGTATTTCAGAAGATAGCTCTCAAGTAAAAGAAAAAGAAAAAATAAAAGAAAAGAGCCTAAGTGCCAAATAAAAAGAAAAAGAAAAGAAAGAAAAGAGTAGAGAGCTATCAATAAGAAAAAAATTAAAAAGCTAAAAAAAATTTCAGCCTTTTCACTAGCCTAAAGAGTAAAGATGTTTTCTATTTTGATTTGGAGTTTGCTAAGCTAATGCTTTGTTGATAAGGGTAGTATCTAAGAGGGTGAGTGATCTTAAAAGAAAAGAAATGAAAGAGGTTTTAGGATGATTGATTAGCGTGTATGGGTAGATGAGAGTCTGATCATGTATGCATCAATTGCCTTTACCTTTCGCGGTTTGATCATTAATGAATGTTAAATGATGAGATTCTTTGATTGTTTGGAATAGGAGAGTCATGATTTGAAATTCATTGTGTGATGAGTATGGCTAAGTTCTTTGGGGTATGAGCGTGTGCATTGCATCTTAGAATTAAGAACTAGGACATTGAGATTGATTCATTTGAAAGACACCTTTGCAAGAAGCTTAAACCCCCGCTTTTAAAACCTCTCTCCCTTCTTGAATTTTGTTTGCTTGAGGGCAAGCAAAAGGCAAGTTTAGGGAAGTTTATATTCCTGCATATTTCGTGTGTTTTGCATACATATAAGATAGTTTCTCATGCATTTACCTTGCACTTTAGGCTAGTTTGCATCATTTTAGTTCCTATAGCACTTTTGCATTAGCATTCGCATATTTCTTGCATTATGCATCACATTCAGGTTGTTTTCGGCTACTTTGGAGCTATGGAGGATGCGTGGACGTGCTAAGGCTCGTGAGGAAGTTCGTGGACACTTGGAGAACTCAGGATTGCATGCTAAGGACCCAAGATCGAGTAGCAGATCGAGCAAGGCAGGTCGATCTATCTAGATCGACCAGAAGATCGAGTAACCAAGCCGATGCAAGGAAATGGATCGAGACCGAGATCGAGATAGGAGATCGATCTGAAGTACGGACGTAAATGACGTCATGCTGATCGAGAACCAGATCGAGCTTCCAACCCGATCAGCACAAGATCGACTCAGAGATCGATTAGAGCCATCCGATCCAAGACGAACATCGAGAGCCAGATCGAGCTTCGTGCTCGATCCCAGACCAATCTTATCCGTCCAGCTGGCTTTGGACCGTAGCGACGGGGGGACCATTTGCAGTTTGGCCATTTTTGGCAAAAGGCAACGATCCCTTTCATTATCCTCATTCTGTCTTTTTACCTTTTTCTCTCTCTTGTTTTTGGAGGCGATTATCTCTGCTATTGTAGACCTTTGAAGCTTTTCTTTGTTTTTGAATCTTTGAACCTTTTTCTATATTAAGCAATCTTTCCTTTTAATCGTTGTTAATCATGCTTAGCTTTCTGTTTATCGCTTTTGCTTTGATTTTAGCTATGTGGAGCGAGTAGTCTTTTCGGGTTTTGGGGTTGAGGTGATTCAAAAGGGTCGAAAAGGTTAAAGCTTGTGTTTTCGTGTTCTTCATTCCTTTCTTTTTACTACAAGAATTCATTGAAATGGCTACGGACTGGCAAAGGTATTTACGTAGCCAAGACTATTAGCTACGTAAATGGCAACAGATAGCCACAAAACAAATAATATTATTTTTGTAGCTAAATCTGTAGCAATTCTATAGCAATCGGTAGCTATATAGCTAGAGATGAAATCCGTCGATATTTTATAGCTAAATAGCTAAGCACTGATAGAGATAAGTTGTCGCCATAAATGTTTTAGCTAGCAATGTATAACTACAAATTGGCAACAACATGTGTACTATCATTATCCATCCCGTACATAGCAATGATGTAACAATAAAATTATAAAGTAGAAATTTAAAATAATGATTTCAAATTAATTATATCAGGTTGTATTTTTTTAATGTGCCATAGAAAAAAATCACCAAGATACATAATGTGACAATGTCCGAAGAACTTAACTAGTATAATCTAATATTATATATAAGTTTAGAAGAATAGAAAGCAAAAATTAATTAGTTCAAAAAGAAATGTGGAATGGGTCGCTGCCACTTATCGAAGGTATGTAAGTAACTCGTAGATTTGTGTTTAATTGGTATGAAATCAACAGCAATGCATGGTAGCATTCGCACGGTCAGTCTTGAGAGATGCGCATATCACACTTTCTAATTACTTATGTACACGCGCTACAAGATTGAGTAACTCATACCGATTGAAAATAATTTTCCAACACCAATACTCTTAATTAAGAGGATATATGTTTAACATGGACAGTTAATGGTTTAAGCAAATAGATCAATGTAATGATATTTTCATAATTAAATATAAACTAATTAATGACATATGTTGGTTTTTAAAGCAAAACTTTAAAATGATATAGATGAAACTCAAAATGTATTCATTCAAATGATAAAGATAAAAAATTAAGCATGTGTGTACATTATTTAAATAGTTTCTTATCTAACAATAGCTGAAGAACCTACTGTAAAAGATCACAATATATAAAATTTCAAGTGAAAGTTTTTATGCTGAGTTTGAATGTTTCTATTTTTGTTGAATTAATTAGTTTAAGATTTATATGCAAAATTATATATATTGGAGTTTAGATTTGTTTTGTTATTATAGAATTTGAGTTTCAAAATATAATAACACTTGTATTTTTAGTTTCCCTAATTTTGTATCCATATAAATAAAAGCATGTAAATTTTAAAGAAAAGAATAAAACTTTTTTTTTGGAAAGTTCCGCCAACCATTTGGAAAGTTTCCACCAAAGATTTGGCCAAAATTTTCAGATTCCGCCTTAATATTTAGCCACAATTTTTGGAAAACCTAAATCTTTTTTTCTCTCTTATCTTTCGCAGCTCATTCTTTTCATCCTTTTTTCCCTCTTCTCTCCTTGGCGGCTGATTCTTTCCCCTCCACCTTCTTCGCGGCTGATTACTTTTTCTCTTCTCCTTCGCAGCAGAGAACTCTATAATAATGTCAGTCTCTCCCTCTCGCAATCGCTCATTTATCTCTTCCACGGTAGTTAAACACAATCTCTAAGGTTAGATTATTCTTTAGATTTATAGTTTGAGTTTTGTTTGGGGTGAAATCATGCAATGACTTTGGATAATTGCTGTTTATTGTGCCAAAATTGATTTAGGATTCAATTCTTCTTTGAATCTCTGCGTTTTTTGTTTATAATGTTATGCTCTTCAGATTTCGGTAATTGATGTTTATGTATTGAAATTGATTTATGGTTCAATTCTACGGGGTTCTTATTTTTGGCTGAAATCATTCTCTTCAGTTTTGGTTAATTGATAATGGTTACTACTGAAACCGTATTACTATTTATTTAATCAGGGAACGATTTAGTATTGCACAATACTATAAATGATGGTCATCTTCACGTGTTGTCTCAAATGTTTTCCAAATCTCTATCATTGTAGTATGCATCCACCATGTAGATAGACTACCCGCAAGAGGTTATGTTGGACGAGAGGCCCATGCTCCCTCAAGAGCTGGTGATGTCTTCATTCTTCAGTTGCAGATGAAAGCTCTCTACGCCAAGCTATATGACAAATACACCAAACTCAAGGTTTTCTCAAGCAAGATCTTCCATTTAATTTTGTGTTTTTGTATTTTGCGTTTCAGGATTTTGATTTAACTTCTCTTGTTTAAAGAAGATGCTCTCATTTCAACAAGAAAAGTTCCTAAACTTAGTTTCAGGTACCAGTTTCGATCTATTGTAGTATTGTTTTTGGAAGATTCTTTATTTATAGTTGAGCTCTTCCTTTTACTTCGTGTTTGAGTCTTATTCTCATCAGATATATTCATGAGTTGTTACTGTCTTCTCTATCTTTAAACTATATTGCAAATTAAAGGGCACATTTTGGTTCAGTTTGGATTTATATAACAATTGGGTGTCTTTTATGTTGTTCAATGTTGTAGGGGACAAGATATTGATGGTCACTTGTACGTTGGTGAATCTTCTCTCCTTGTCAAGTGAGTCTTACTTCCATATTCCAAATTACTTTTTCTGCATTTACTGGATTCAGAAGATAAAATATGTTATGTTGTAAACGAGATAAGGTTTGGCAAGCAAGAGTGCACTGCTTATGTGATGTTCAATGATTCTTGTTCTCAGGAAACTGCTGTTTTACACTAGGGATTCTCTCGATACTCACTAGTGTCTGGAATTCTCGATTAACTTCAGGGCTGCAACAATATTGGAGCAGCGCGTTCATAACTCGTTGGGGACAGCACCACTGAGTTTTGAAGATCCAAAGCACAAGGTTACCGACTTCTTGTAGGATATGCAATAAGTTTTCAGTTTTGGACTTTTGTTGTCTTGTTTTCACTTTTGTTTGTTTGTATGATACTTGACAATTTTTATTATGTTTTGAGAATATAGTTTTTTTTAATAATCTATTTCTACACATTTTATGCTTTAAACACAATTTAAATATTTTGATTTATTTATTGAAAATAAAATATTTTGTTTTATTTATTGAAAATCAAATATTATGTAACCAAATATGTGGCACATTCGCTACAGATTTGCTATAGAGAGATTATTGTTAAAGTTTGTAGCTACATACCCACAAGATATCAGTAGCCAAAGTTGTCACTATTTAGCAATAGAACAAACTGTAGCCACATTGTTGCTATTGGCTACGGAAACAACTCTTGCTAATTTGTTGCTAGTTGGCGACAGATTGGCTACGAATTAAAAATAGCGTCGGAGCTGAGGCAACAAAATTGATCTGTTGCTGTTCGTCGCCATCTTAGTTTAGCTACAAATTTTGCCCGATAGCTATAGAATAATCGGTAACTATTTCAGTAAATTATTGTAGTGTTTGTAGGATTTGAGCACTTAAGGCTTAGAGACTCTCATGTCAAGATCTCTATGATCAGAGGGATATCTTACCTTGACAGGATTCAGATGTCCTGGAGAAGTCAAATCCTAGAGGTTAATCCTTCATTTCCCACACGCCATGGTTATTTAGGAGATTAGTTAGGCCGTGTGTTTGAAATCTATATTTTATGCCCTTCAATCTCTTTTTCCACCAAACGCCATGGGTTTGGAGAAGAGAATGAAGGAGTGATCCATACCACACGCCATGGATGGATCTTGTTTTGTTTTCAAGGCCTAGAGAACCTCTTAGAAAGAGTAGATCTAATGTTTCCAAACCAAGCTTTGATCTTTGAGACCCACGAATATGAACCTCGACCCTAGACCCTCTTTCTTAGTATCTTAAGTCGTTTAATATCATTATATCATCATAAAGTTGTGTTCTTGTCAATCGCGTATTGCATCATTTCATCATTCTAGGTTGTTTAGACGAAATCGATGGTTGTTGCTCGATCTAGTGGTCGATCTTGTGGTCGATCCACTAGTCGATTTTTAATAATTAGTAGCTTTGCATTTCAATCATTCCGCTTGTTCTTCGTGGTAGTTAACCCTCTTCCAGGGATTTTAAAATTGTTTTGATTTGCATTTGACACTTGCATTTAGTTTTTAAGGATTTTACCAATCATTTATCATTTTCGCTTAGCTTTGCTCATCCTTTGCATTCTTAGTGAACTTGCTACCCCTAGGTGTGGATTGATATCTCTCTTGCTCACTATACTACATCTCTGTGTGCATTAGAGCTTTGATAACCTCTCTGTTGCATCTTGACCCATCATTGCATCCATAAGAAAACTGTTATCAAACATGTGATTCAGCCATGGTTATTTTTGTGCAATATAATCCGGAGGACATCATTGGTAATTTTTCCAACTGATGTTTACTCTCCATTGTAATGCAAAGATATTCAGAGCCATTCTTATTAATAGTCACAATATGATATCCATTTCTGCGGATATCTCGGAAACTTAATAAGTTCCGTTGAGCCTAGTATAATCTTTGCAATACCAGTTATAGTACTCACGCTTCCAGCGGAGACTTTCATTTTGAGACAGGAGAAATATTTTTTATCTTTAAGTATTGTATGTGTCGTAGCATTGTCTGCTAGACAAGTATCTCCATCCATAGTCTCAAATTCTGACATTTTTTGAATTTAAAATATCTATCAAAGATGTATTAATACACATACCTGGCAATACAGCTTATGATACAATAGAACCTACATCAAAAACATTCAAAGTAAAAGCATATAATACATCAAAACCATTAAGCTTTTGTCTTTCAACATTCCAACCATCATCCTTTTCTTTCATTAGATTTGTCCATCACACTTACTGTAAGTGGATTACTCAACATTCTCCCCTGGGAATGGAGTTAATTTAGTTGGAAAAAACTGATGGTTTCTCATCACAAGTTTATTATATTATTAAGCTACCAGGAGGATTTATATAAACTCCGAGCTTTGGGTGAATTCTCTCGCCTGGAGATTCAACCACTTATTTCTCAAGATCTTCAGGATCTTTACTCGTGATGGATTTATCATTCAAACCGTCATGGATATGGTGGCGTAAATATTTCATGATATTTGCCTTATTTCATCGAATATCGTTTCCGACAAATCGATAGTGCTCAAGAGATCATTTCTCTTTTAGATGGAATCTTATACCTACCGCCCAAGACATATAATAAATTCCACACAAGTCAAGGGTGGCGATCTCGAGCTTTGACAAATTATTACTCAATAACAAAAGCTTAATTTGTTAGATTAAAAATTTGAGCATAATAACGGCATAATAAAAAGCAATAATTAAAAGCAATATGATGAGGCAGAGTCTACCATACAATTGCTGATTGCATAATAAATAAATAAACAAAGATGGAGATTTTAATCTCTCACACAATAAATAAATAAATATGATATGAGGCGACATAGTCTGCCATGTGATCATTTTTGATTGTGGAGGCAGAGCCTGCCATAACAATCAGCTCGAAGGAGATAAAGCCTACCCTCCCGGCATAATAAATAAACAATATAATTATTTGACCGTGGAGGCAGTGTCTACCATAACGATCAGCTCGGAGGAGACAAACCCTTCCATCCCGGCATAACATATAAACGGAGAAGGCAGAGCCTATCTTTCCGTAAATCATAATATTCAAAATAAATTGAACATAAATGAATCTTACCTCTCTGGTATATAGACAAGTCAAGAGACGCTCGTGCTGATAACGTGCTGTAAACTAATGCTTTATAAAGAAAAGCAAAGAAGAGTTTAAGATCTTTTGAACTTCAGAGAGAAAGAGAGAAAGAGAGAAAGATGAACATAAGAACTTCATTTCTTTCTTCTTCTGAACTTATGATTTTACAAAGAATGAAGTTACCTATTTATAAAAAAATTTTTATTTCATAGTGAAGTAAGCTAATCTATAAAGACAAAACATTTAGATAAATATTATCCAAAAAATATAGATAAGCATTATCTAAAACTTATAGATAAATATTATCTTTTAATATATTAATGTATAAAGACAAAAACAAATGGATGATTACTATCCATTTAACAGATTATTCATTTTATCACTTATCCTTTAATAACAAAAGGTCTGGTCATCCGAGCTCTTTATATATTTAAAAAAAAAAGAAGTTTATTTAACACGTGCAGATGGAGCAGAACATAAACTTGATTTTAAAACGAAATTTTTCTTAGCAAATTTTTATGAATGAGGATCCATATTTTTCTAAAAACTAGCTGACCATATTTAATATAAAGTAGCCGGACTCGTTTAATTTGATGAATATTTTAGATTTGAACAAAAAAAAAGTTCTTTGCTTTTAAAGTTTTCATAGTTAACACGAGATATGTGATACAAACAAGTTTTCGCGTTACCCTCGAATCTTATAATAGCATTAATTTTTATTCGAATTTACATTTTTCGTTAAAGAATTGTTTGTGTATGTTCCACAAAAACAAAATTGAGTGGACGCGTAAAATATGTTGATAGGTGGTCGTCGAATAATTACGACTGGATTTGATATGATCATTAATGGATCATGATTATAAAGATAAAAATGATCATGGCCCATGGATTTAATCAAATAGATTAATCAAAAAGATGCGCACTGCATTGACAGTGGGACTTAAAATTACAAAATTACTTTGTTAATAAGGAGGAGTGAGTGAGATGCCGTTTAAGCGCCGTTTGTCACTGCGTTGAAAATTATGGTACCGAAACAGACGCCGCTAGATCTCCGTTCCGTTTACGTCGGTGCATGTCTGATCCAGTCGGAACGACATAACATGTTTTGTGGTTTTAAACTTAGGAGTCAATTTTCGTGAACTTCACGCGACCATCTTTTTTTCTTTTCATAAATTAGCACTCTTATGCCAAGTTCTAAAACCTAAAAGTATACACTAACAGCACCTATTTTTAGAGATAAAGCCTGCACCGATAGATAAGTCTGTTCATTACTGGACGAGCACGATCCTTCATCCTATACTCGTACTCGTCTTAGCCACTACATTGATTGTCATCTTTTAACTTTAAATTTAGTTTTCGTTTGGTAGCTCCGAATCAATCGTTTTTTTTTTTTTAAGAATAAAGATTTCCTAACAGGAATTAATCAAAGAATCGAACGTCTGCATAACCAAAATGTACAGAATTTAACTGAATGTACCAAAATTCTTTTGATTTAACCAATTTTTTAGCTGAAAAACCAAAGTAAATTGTCTCAAAACTGAGCCAATTTACAAAACCGAGATGAACCAAACAAATCAAACTCAAAAACTAGAAAAAAACCGGATATCTAGATCTACTCAATAATTTGGAATCTCCTTCTCTAGACCCTGGACCCAACCACCAGTAGATCATTTTGTTTTGAATAATTGGTAACCTTTTGCCAAAACAATTTCAATAAGATATGTGTGGGTTTAACCATAGACTGATGTTATCTTGACTGTTTAACTATTTCCAGAAACATATACACTTTATATAGATTTTTAGTGAAAATACAAAAATTAACATTCCATCCAAAGTATTTCTTAAAGAGTTATTTATTTAATTAGTCTTTTTGGCAATTTTATTATAAAGTAGTACTCATAAGAAAAATTGTAAGAGCGTTCCCTTCAGGGCCGGCTCAATACTTTTAATGGCCTCTGCGCAAAAAAAAAATTTAGGACTCTTTCATTGATAAAAACACAAATTTGGGCTCCTAATAATTGATGAAACACACAAATTTGGGCCCCATTATTATCCTAATTTTACTTGATTTGGAAAGTGGACCTGGGGCGGTTGCACCGATTGTCCCCCCAGTAAGCCGGCCCTGGTTCCCTTGTGTGTTGTTAGTCCCTCATTAATTTATATTTAATTTATTACTATGTGATCGGCATGCACCGTGTGCAAACTATAAAACATTTGATATGTTTAATTATAATTAGTATAATATTGAAAATGCTTTATTTTTATATGATTAATTATGTATTAATAATAAAATTTTAAAAATTTAATAATAAAAATAATAAATTAAATATAAAATATTATAGATTTCAAAAGAAAATGAAGATAAAAAATATTAACTAAGATTTTAACATATTTTTTTACATAAAAAAATATAAATATGATAAGTAAATAAACGGAAAATATTAAAATATATAATAATTTACTTAATTGTTATTTTGGGCTCGCACGCATGCGCAATTATAATATTTTTATATATATAATTAGTTGTAATATTTAAGTATTGATTAATTTTTTTATACATTATATAAACGTAATTTTTTATACTTATACAGTTTTAGTGTTCAACAACAATCAAACAAACGTTTCTTATTGTTTTGTGTCTTTTTAATTTTTTTTATTTTTTCTAGCGTTTACAATAACATATAATTATAAATATAAAAATTATATTAAATAATAATTAAATTCTTATAATATGTTTTAAATATATTCTATACTATACTTTCTTTTTCTCCTTACACAGTATAATCTTCCCAATATATATATATATATATATTAAGTATTTTTTTTCTTGACCTATTGCTAATTAAACCAAAATGAAATTTACCATATTTACTTATCCTAAGAGCGGGTAGATGATTGGCCCGCACATTCATGCGTACCAACCACCTCACCGTTTTTAGGACATATAAAGATTTTTCTAAAAAATATAAATTGTGTAACAACTAAAATTAAAATTAGAGTGTAATCGAGGTTAACAAAATGTATGCACGACAATTTTGCATGCGAGTTTGACTTTTGTACAATTAATATTTATATCTACATGCACATTTATAAGAAAATTGAAGTATGGGTTTTATGTGTTAAAAAAATAAAAGTATATGTTTTGTAATATATATTTTTATAACGTATGATTGATTTTTTTTAGAATAATAATAAATATATTTATGCATGTAGGTACGAGTTAGAAATAAGTGAAATGTAATATTTAGGTGTTGGTAAGTTTTTCTGATATTTTACGCAAACATTATGTTAATACATGATGCAGTTATTGACGTTTAACAACAATCACGAAAACCGTTTCTATCATCTTGTATTTAATCAAATTTTTTTCTTTTTCAGCGTTTTATGATATATGGTTTCTCAATAAAATTATAACAAACATTTATTATAAAATTTGTGAAATCATATTTCATAAAATTCTCCGGTAGCTCTCCGCTCATATTTTCATCAAAAATTTTATAATCCGCAATCGCTCGCTTCCACAAACTCTCTGTAACTTAATCGTTTAAGCCAGTAGGATCTAAACTTATATGTGTATAATTTAAGGTGTAAAATGATATATTTAATATTTAATTATTATATTAAAAATTAAGAGTTGATATGTTCCTAACTTTAATATATTTGTTAATATAAAATATAATAGATCACAACAATACAAAACTTGATTCATAAAATAATGTTTTAATATGTTGAAAAAAATATATGAATGAAAGAATTAATATGTGTAAGATAATATCTTTAAATATTTTAAATAAAAACATAAAATCGATCAAATTATTCTTATTTATTTTTTTGTCTTCTTTGACTCATACTTTTTATTTCTTAACCTTTAATAATATATTTAACATTAAGATCATCTCAATGTATTTTTCTATTTTTTTCCCTAAAATATAATTGGACTTTTCTCTAACCTATTTCTATTTTACAGAAAAAAAGATTATTTTTTTTCTCTATAATCGAAGGAAAAAATAACAATTTTTCTTTTTCCTCTAAATTAGAACATTTAAAATAAAGGTGAGTGGGAGATGTTTTAAATCAAAAATATGGCCTGAGATTTTTACATAAAACCAAAGTCGTAAATATTTATTTTTACTTTTACTTCTACTTTTTATTCATCTATACATTATTATAATAAAAAAAGTTGGCTACGAGAATACTTATAATTTATTTTTCTCTGTTTATTTTTTGTTTCGATTATAATTTTGAATTTTTGCTATATAATGAGAGTTCATTCACATATAATATAATTTTTTTATTTTATTTAAAAATGAGATTTATTTAGTTTTAACTTAACCAATTAAAACATTTCGTTTATTTTTGGTAAATTTGTCATGTCACATTTATGAGATAGAATTGTTTTGTACTAACTTTTCTTTAGATGTTGATATATAGGAATTTTTTAGTAAACATGCTTCTCAAATAATAGTTAGGATTAGTTTGTATTTAAGCTAATTTTAATTGTATGATCAATTAATCTATTACTAATTTGTATTTAATAGGCCATTAGACTCCATGGCAAAATAGATGAAATGATAGTTTATAATTTTTTTTTTTATAAATGTCATTTCTACAATTATCTCTTATGCAGATCAATGTTTTACATTATTTTTTTTAATATATATTATTTTGAAGCATTTCCACTTTCTTAAACTCATTTCCATGTTTATATGTTTTAACTTCCAACATAATGAACGTTAACTTTCAACATAATGAAGGTGAAAGGAATAAGAAACATGGTTAACTTTCCTAACAGGCAATAGGAAACAAATCAAATTTCTCTTCATGTCACAAAGACGAATATATAAATAAAGATATGGTTTACGGCTATAAGATTAATAAATTGAGTCTCTTGGTAATATCTGAGTTTGCTTTCGTAACCAATCGACATTATTTTCCATCAGAAAAAATAGTGACACATGTCAAGACTGAGAAATGAAAATTGATCTTTTGTCTCTTGAACACCAAAAACCTAAACAAGTTAATACTAATTCAATCTGGAGAAACTAACTCTAAACCATTCACTCAAGATCCAAAGCTCAAGGGCTTTGAGGATTTAAAATAATAATAAAACCCATTTAGCGCAGCAGTTTTTACAGCATGACAATGATGAGTTTGAAGCAAAAAGCGTCGAAGCAAAATCTTCAAAATGCCTGCAATGGCCTCTCATTTACTAATCATCTTCATCTTCTACCTGAATCTGCTTCCCAAATTTCTTCAATGCCAACGAATATACCTCTTTCTTTCTCATTGATGTTCTTTCCGCCACTGTTTTCACCGCCTGACAAAGTTTGATGTTAGAACCATATCCAGGAACTGAACATGTCTATAATCCAGTCTTATATGTGTAATGTATGTTTTAAGCTAAGTTTCCAGGAAAGGAGAAGTTTCCATAACAAAAATGCTTACCGTGGAAAGGCTATGTCCGTCAGAGATCAGCACTCTTAACTCTTCTTCGACTTCAGTATCCGTTGGATTATCAGCTTTGGTTTCTTCCTTTCCTTCAATCAAAAGCGTGATTTCTCCTTTTGGCTGGCGAATCAGAAACTCTTGCTTGGCTTCCCCTAGCGAACCCCTCCAAAACTAAAGTACAAAAGACCATCTTCATCAGCTGGTTATATTATAACCGGTTTATGTATGTTAGCGTGTCAAATATAGAGTGATGAAGTATGTTACCTCTTCATGCAGCTTTGTAATTTCTCGAGCTATTACACATTGCCTGCACCACATACATTATATTTAAGGATCAGGCATAGATAGGACTGCTCCCAACACTCAAAGATATAAAAATGTCACATCATTGTTGGCGAACAATAAGGAACCCAGTAAAAGAGAGGAAATGAAATGGATGTGCAGTGATTTTAAATCAGGAGATATTAATATAGCTTTATTAAAACATCCAAAGAAATATACAAACCTTGATTCACCAAAGTAAGGAGTGGTTTCTTCAAGAAATTGTGACAGCTTATGAGGGGGAACATAAAAGATCTGTGTTCTTGTCTCATTCGATGAAACCAACAGCCTCTCCTTCCTTGTTCCAGAATGCTTATGAAGAAAACCAACTGTAAAACTCAAGTTGTTTAGAAATTTAAACACCGAGATTGCTAAGAGAACAAATATAGTATATTAGGGTGAAAGTTACCGAATGTGAACTCATCCGTCTCCAGACCAGAGGCAGAAAGAGCGGCAACTACAGCGCAAGCCCCAGGGATCGGAATGACATCGATATTCTCTCTCGCACACATTTTCGCCTGAGGAAAGAAAAGATGATAGCATTTGTTTCTCATATCCTCCATTTATAAGAAACATTATAGAAAAAGGTACCTCTATGCTCAAGTGACTACAGAACATTTTCAGACTATATATTATACACAGAAAATGAAGTTTTTGCACTCACAAGTTGGTTACCTCTCTGCTTAAGTGACTACAGAACATATTAAGACTAAGAAGGTACATTACCGGATAGAGAGAAGCTCAATGTACAAACTATATATTATACACATAAAAATGAAGTTTTTGCACTCACAAGTTGATTACCTCTCTGATTAAGTGACTACAGAACACTTCCAAACTAAGATTATTGGTACATTACCAAACAGAAAAGAGCGCAATGCACAGACCTATATATTATACACAGAATATGAAGTTTTTGCACTCACAATTTGGTTACCTCTGTGCTTAAGTGACTACAGAACATATTCAGACTAAGAATATTGGTACATTACCGGATAGAAAAAAGCTCAATGGACAAACTATATATTATACACATAAAAATGAAGTTTTTGCACTCACAAGTTGATTACCATTCTGATTAAGTGACTACAGAACACTTTCAAACTAAGATTATTGGTACATTACCAAACAGAAAAAAGTGCAAAGTACAAAACTATATATTATACACAGAAAATGAAGTTTTTGCACTCACAAGTTGATTACCTCTCTGATTAAGTGACTACAGAACACTTTCAAACTAAGATTATTGGTACATTACCAAATAGAAAAAAGTGCAATGTACAAAACTATATATTATACACAGAAAATGAAAATTATGCACTCACAAGCTGGTTACCTCTTTGCTTAGGTGACTACTGAACATTTTCAGACTCGAATTTCGAAAAAACTCAATGGACAAAAACTATATAATATTATACACAAGAAAATGAGGTTTTTTAGCACTCACAAGTTGAGTACCAGGATCACTAATTCCCGGAGTCCCTGCATCGCTGATAAGTGCAACGATCTCTCCTTGTTTCAACCGATTCAACACCGATTGTTCTCTCTGCGCCTCGTTGAACTTGTGATAACTGAGCTAAAAACCTAAACTTTATAAATTCAAAACATTCACATTGATAAAACAAAAGGAAACCAAAGAGACAACAACACTTGCATATAGAGAAAGCTTACAAGTTGAGCTTTAATATTGTAGTACTGAAGCAACTTCCCAGAGTGTCTCGTATCCTCAGAGAGTACCACATCCGCAGATCTCAGTACACGAATAGCACTACAGAAACATGAGGAAGATGAAATCAAATCACTCAGAAACTAACCAATTGAAGAAGGATTCGAAATCACAAGTAACATTTGCAACAATGATTGAAGAATTGAGAGTTTTGAGGGTACCGTAAAGTGATATCTTCGAGATTACCGATGGGAGTTCCAACGAGGTAAAGCCCAGGCTTGAGAGGACCCTGAAAATGTAAAATCTAGTCGGAGAATGGAAAACGATAAACCCTAATTTGGACTGATGAAAGGGAGGAAAGGCGATGGGCGTGATTACGCGTTTTGGATCATCTTTGGGCACGATGTCGGAGAATTCCGGCGCCGAACAGAAAGAAACGGTGGCGTTTCTGGAGATATTCGATGAACGGAAGAGAATCGAAAGAGGGGAGAAGGCGGATACACGAACTGAAGCATAAGGAAGACGGAGAATCGCTATTCCCGCCATTCAGGTGTTAGCTTTCTCTCTTTATCTCCCTAAAGTACTGAAGTAGCTTCGTTGTTAAACCTTTTGCGGTAGGGAAAGGTGGAGTAAATCCCTAACCGAACCGAACCGAAATTTGGTGATTCGCTTCGGTTTTGGTTTAGCTGTTAAACTCAGATACTTGATTTTGTATCTCTACAAAGCTTTAGATTTAATTTGGTTCGGTCGAAAACTGTAAACCGAACGGAATTTTTGTAATACTAATTTCTCTCGTTTTTTCCTCTCTAAATCCGCGAATTTTTACAAAGCTTTTTTTTTTTATTCTCGCTTGAACTAATTTCTACAACATTTCCCGCATTCTCTTTTGCAACTGTACCGAGTATAAACTTTCATTTTTTTGTATTTTTTACATATTCAAATGTGACATAATTTATCTTTTAATGAAAATTGCAGTATTAAACTATTTGGTTACGTTCTCGTTTGTGTGCATTAAAATTTGATTCAAGTCAATTTTTGATCGTTTTGTCAAAAACACAACAGAATTGTATAAAAAAAAATCTATCCCGCCTCGGTACCTCTTGAGAGTTGGTTCGAAAACGTTCGGTCTGGTCTACAACAATAACTCGGTTCGATAACAAAAGAAATTCGAAGCATATATTCCGAAATACGGTTCAATGCTACTCCTCTTTTAACGATTCGGGAATTGCTGTCTTGACATACATTCCCCATAGGTAAGAGTGTGAAAACAGATGCGACAAGAAGTTAAAAATTTAGATGTGTCAGGATTTGACATTTTCACAATGCCATCATTACATAAAAGGCTTTTCTCTTAATCCTTGACCCGTGAATCAAACCTTATCGTCATGGAACCACCACCTCGTCTCCTTAGGAGACCTCCCATTCTTACAGTTCTTCACATAACGATCATTATCCGCAGGACGTTCCTGCAATACGGCGGGAGAAAAACACATACACATGTTTTGTTACCCAGCTCACAGTTTCTTAGGGTTTAACTTGTAAAATTAGGAAAGAAGAAGAAGAAGAAGGAACCTTTGCAGGTGAACTCGAGAGCATCGAGAGAATGCTGATGCAGACTGAACTCACCGTCATTGCTGGTGACCATGAGTCATATAGAATATCTGCCAAAAAAACAACCACATTCAGCTTTTATATGAATATCCAATTAAATCACTATTCTCCAATTGCATAAGTTAAGATTGGGTTTTGAAGATATTGATTAGAGTGCAACTTAGATGCAAAGAGCATAGTTAACATGAGCACAAGCTCCATAGCATAGTACAATCTAACGAATCCAACGAGAGCTGCATATTTATCGGTTTGAAGGCTACTACGATCTTCGAAAAAGATAATGATTTTGCAAACAATCTAAAACAGACAATTCTTCTGCGATGGCACATACACAGACGCTAAGCAAAAACTAACATGGAAGGCTACTACAAGTGTAAGGAACTCTATCACAAACATTTGAGTAACATACAATAAAAAACATTTATATATCCCACAACATACTTGATCAACAACACTTATCAATGTTTATTAGTTTTCATACCCCAAGAAATTTTCACTTTCAGTGACATGTAGAGAGGTTATTGAAATTCTACATTACACATCAGGAAAACTAAGTAAACAAGGTATAGTAATCACATTAGGAGCAAGAAAAACTACGCAACTTGGGTGTTATAGAAGTCAAGTGAAGATAAACAAGCCCTTGATGTGATCAAAACATATATGCAGAAACGTCAAGCGATAGAAGCAAATACCTAAACAAATATGTCCATTGCTGTAAATATGTGGATGCGACGGTGCCGGAGGAATAAAAACAACCTGCTCAATAACAGAGAAAATCAGTCATATACACCTCCACAAGCAGCAAGAAACAGAGACAAAAGCTATAAAATAAAAATCCTCACTATCTCCATCAAAGAGTCACCAAAACACCCATAACAACGTATCAGTTTTTGTTATCAGTGAGATTTGTAGTCTAACCAAAGAGATTGAAGAGATAGACATAGACATATATGAAAAAACTGTATAATCCACAAATGATCAATATGAAGCCTTAAATCAAAACGAATCTCCAAGCAATAGATAGAAACTGAGACGAATACGATTCGAATCGCGATTACAAATGTTCAAGAATCAAATCAAAACAAAAAATTACTTGCCTGCGGCGCTTCCATGGGGTAATTTACGGGAAATTCAACCTGAAGCTGGTAAGTCTCGTTCGCGTAGAGAGTTCCCGGAGCTCCGGTAACATCGATTGTCCATCTTTGAAGATCAAACGAAAACGCAATCAATCAAAAAAAAAAAGGAACTGGAAATATTCAAAGAGAGAGATCGAGAAAGAGGGCGATTAGGGTTTACTTTTGGAGATTATCAGTAACTTTGTGCCTAAATCCAGTGGGAGGATTTAATTGCCACTCGGTAAGCTCCTTCTGCAGCCTATTGCACGCGATCTTGCTTAACGCCTACGATTGAATCATAATTTATATAAGAAAGAGAGAGAGAAACACACACACAAACAAATTCGTGAAGAAATCGAAGACATGCGAGAGAGACCTTGCGTGAAGGAGCGGAAGAGCTGGTCATGGCGGAGGGGGACGAAGAGAGAGAGAGAACGCGATGGTGTGCTGCTATCTGGGCCTCCTTTACTCTTTTTTTTTTTCTTTCTTTATAGTTTTGTTATTTTTCTTTGGGGAATTGACTCATATAACTATATCAATACCTATAATTGAGAAAATAATCATACCAATATAAAAGTTATTATATTCTTTGTATATTCTACTATATATACAAAATTTTCTTTGTTTATTTTTCTTTCTCTTTCGATCTTTTCTTCTCCTTTCATCCTTTTCCCCTCACTTCCCCTCGGCTCATCTCCACTCATCCCATCTCCCCTCCTTCCCTTCCCCCCTCCATGTCTTCTCTTTATTCCTTTTTTTAATATAGTATAGTAAATATAATTAAAATCTCAAGTACTATACTATATTAATCTTATCGTGTAAGACCATATATTATAGTATAATCCGAAAAAAATCATTTGCTATAATCAAAACTATTTTCTATATATGTTCTCGGTTTAAAACAAAATGAGTTTTTGGTCTTTTTAATGTGGGGTATGGTTATTTTTCATATTTTTTGAATAGCATAGCTATATTCTTGTATTATTTCACAAATATGGTTAGATTTCAAATTAACCCTTTTTTTTTTCAATTGTTACATTTATTTAGGCAAAAACATTATATAACTGTAGAACTAGACTTTTTCTAACAATATACATTATATTATTAATATGAATGGTTTTAATTTGTAAAGGTAAATGCTTTTCTATAATAGTGAAAATAGTCGAATTGATATCTCAATTAGTTCATAACTAAATATCGTTTTTTACAAAGTATATCGATTTTGAACATTTTATTTTTATGGGTAAATCGATTTTTTTTTCATTTTGATTTAAAATTTGATTTTGTATCGAGTGGAAAATTACTATTTACATAAACGTAATTTGAATATATTTGACCATGAGTTATGATTTTTAATTGCAAAAGTGAAATTAGAAAGATAAAAATAATTTAAAAGATTTTTGTATTTAAATCTTAAAATTTATCGTTTATTACCTGGTTTACTGTCAACAATCGATTAAAATGCGTGCTGGTATATTGATCATGCATGTATGTTATATGGTGAGAGGGATGAGACAAAAGATCACTTATACAGTTATACGATTTACACTTAAACATTATGGCTGGTTTTATCGGGACATCTACTCGGAACATCAGCAAATCTGGATTGGGCCGAGACATTAGAATTTTTTTACCTTCGTAAACCTTAGAATAATTCAGAAAATATCAAAAATAAGTGAATCACGAATTTTCAATACGTAGATTATTAGAATCAGATTTTCATAATTTTACAAAATCAAAAAAATCTCATTAATTCTAAAACAAAATTAGTGATAAAAAGATATTTATTTGATTTATCTTATTTTTTCCTTTTATTTAGATATAAACAATTATATTTAAATATATCTAACTGTAAAAATCTTTTATAAAACTTATAGAACTCAACTGTTTTCATTGTAAAAATATATTAAAATTTGTAGAAATTAAGAGAAAACTTTCTCTAAAAGTTTAGACTTTGTTATCTTGTTCTTTTGAACATAAGTGTGTGATTCACTTCTATTTTTTAAAAGCCATGAATTTAGATTATTTGTATGATTCAAACAAGTTTAATTCTCTAAAGATTAAGTGAATCGGTCATCTCAAGGATTGAAAGAGTCATTCACAAGTTCCACCCAAATTTGCCACTTTGATAACAATTTGTTATTAAGATCTAAAGAGTAATTCCTGATTTTATATCATTTGGTATCTGAGGAGTGACTATGATGCACCACCGTGGCCATGAGATGATTATTCAAACTCTGAATATGAAGATGAACCAAGAGATGTAGAGTTTGAACCGGAGCCACCAGATGATACCAAGAAAATGCCTCGACTTGGTCTAGAGAAGAAGTTGTAGAATATGATCATGAAGAAGATTCATATCAGGAAGATGCTGAATCCCAAATCAGTCAAGACAAAGTAGCCTACAATGAGGAAGCAAATTACAAAGAAGAAGACCAATGCCATATTCCGTGGTATGAAGAAACTGATTCTCAAATCAGTTTTGAAGAAACTGAGTCGAATGGTGTAGAAACAGAATCTGAAGGTGACTATGAACGTGATAGTGAAGCTGAAGAAGATGAGTCAGGGCGTGGTGACATGGATTCAGAACCACTAGATCAGATTTCACATGGTTACACCCACCAAACCCAAAGAAACCGAGGTAATAGTTGTGAACAACTTGATTTGCAACTCATAACTGATAAGAGTGTTTTTGCTCTTTGTAATTAAAAACCCTTCATAACCAATTGTAGTACAGTTCAAGGTTATTTTTTAAATCTAAGTAGGAAAGATGCATCACAGAGAATACATGATATTCTTGTAAGCTAAGCCAAATAAAGAAGTGTTGTTCAAGAATCTAACACCCTAAATAATCACCACACTGAAACAAGAAAATGATTAAAGTGAAACACGAACATCAACAGTGAATCAACTTAAGTAAACATAACTTTCAACTAGCAAGAACATAGTAAAAGGTAGAGCAAAATAGAGTAGATACAGGACAAATTTGAATTTTACAAGCAGGGTTACAAGATAGGAAACCCGGAATGATCTTCAGCTTCTAACAAGATGTTCACAAATTCAATGAATGCATGATTCTTTAGCATAGAACTCTAACATGTAAAGCAATTCACTCTCATGACAACGATTCTTGAATGCAACCTAATCAAGATCTAACTCTCATTAGTGATCAGGAAACAATCAATCATAAATAAACAGTTCTATCTAGCTAATAAGCTCCATAGTCATCTATTCTAATGTGTAAGGATACGCAAAACCACTAAGAGGTTGGTTCAGTCATTTAAACAAATAATTTTGATGCAGGGATAGCCTAATTTCTAAAATCAGATGATCAGTAAGATTCAAGCATTAAGAACACCTAATAGTGAAAGATCTAACATTATTTACACCTAAATATCAAGTTATAAACATTAAATCATCCTAAATCTAACTCATCCTTAAACGTAGAAAAAACTACTCACAAATCATGGTTGATCTATAAAATACAGAGCAAAAGATGAAAGAAAATATGACCAGAAGCAATAGATAGAAGATCGACAACAAGAAATGCAAACTTATATTAAAAATTCAAATTGTTGCTACAAAATACCAAAAACTGGAAGTTGCTCAAAAACACGAGGGAGATTAAAGATAAGGGTTTTTCTAAAGATAAGATAATAAAGCATCATCTGAAGATAAGATAAGGTTTTTGGCTGAAATAGTCAAAGGTAAAAGCTTGGTCAACTCGGTCAAAGTTTAAAATCCGAGAGTTGATCAAAGTCAAATCTGCTTGGGAAAGGAGCTGGTATGGGGAAAAGGTCGACACTAGAGGTCGATATGATTTCATGTCTTCTGATATCGGGTACCATCTCAACACAAGTGGTCGATATGAGACTCCTCCCGGAAGCCAAATCTCCTTGGACTCCTGTATCATGTGCATATCAATGTATCATGCCTCGTCTTACTAAAGTCACCAAAACTCAGTGCAAGTGGGAGTCGTTTCCACTTTGCCAAATAGGAATCATTTAGCATATGAAGTGTGTCATCTCTTATAACGAAAGGATTATGGTGGGATTTATTTTTAGTTATTTTCCAGTTTTTTTTTAATCTAGTTCTGACTATTTAGCAGGGGTTACCAGCTTGGTCTTGTCCTTACCCTTATTATATTTTTAGGGTATGTATCACATAAGGCCTGTAATACGTTTGAACTCCGTCAAGGAGAACCAAATTGGTTGAATGCCGAAATCTATCGACATCTCATAGCCATTCTTCGTGATGAGTTGGCAGGATAGGAGGGAATGGAGAAGTTTGGCAGAATTGGTGGATCTTGCCACATGCAGCCTTAACAAATTATCGAATTAGGAGTCTACAACTTGTTGCAATTCCTTAGACCCATCTAAAGCACCAACTAGCTGACCGATCATTCTGGCTTACGAGTATATGTTCAGACGTGGGCTTCATAAAGAGTAACAATTGCGAACAAAATTTCTCGGTTGGCAGAACAATATGATTTTTTGATTATAGTGAAAAATGTGTGTTTTGGCGTAAAAATAAATTTTCTCGATTTTGATGGAAAAATGAATTTTTTTGGTTATGACGGAAAATACAATTTCTTGGTTTTGATGGAAAAACTAGATTTATTGGTTTTGATGGAAAAACGTAATTTTACGGTTTTTGCGAAAAAATACGATTTCTCGATTTTACTGAAAAAATTTCCAATTTGGAAAGAAATATGATATTTCAAGTTTTACTAGAGAAGCATAATTTGTGGTTTTGTCAGAAAGCGTGATTTGATTTTATGATTTTGTTAATTTTGGTGAAAAATGTGATTTAATAAGTTTTTTTTTAAAAAAAAAGTTTAAAGATATTTTAGTTATTTGTTATTTTAAACTGAATCATCTCTATCCAATAGTCCAAATGGTCCAAATTGGTTCATCCAGATGATTCTCATAAATTTGCTTAAATTTATAAAAATTATCTAGATAATTCATTTAAATGCTTTTTAATTTTGTTACAAAACAAACAAAAACCCTATCTTCATTCAAATAAGTCATCTAAATCGAGATAAACAGAACCTTAATATAGTTAGCCAGTGTTGGAATGTCCATTTGCGTTCATTTTCCTCGTTTTTATATTTTAAGCTTTCATTTTCTTGTTTTCATTAACTTTTATAATAAATGGACATAGAACAAAGTTCGAATATATCATACACATTTAAATTCTTTTTTTTTCCTTTAAGTTTGTAAATTTGTATTTTTAATATTTGTGTTGATACATTTTAATAAGATAGGTATATAATTAAAAATAGTGAAATACATAATAAGAAAGAAAATAAATGGATTGAATCAAGATTAAAACATGTGTAACTAAGTAGACTTTTTGTTTGACTTTGGCTTCTTAAAAAGTTTATATCTCATCATCCCAAAAATTTTGTAGAACCAAAATATGCTCACAAGTTGTAACCCTGATCCCATTGCCTGTAAGAAAATTAAACAATTCATCTTAAAAATAGCATATTGTAATTAGAAACTGTGACATACTAAGAGATTAAAAAAGAGAGAGATTAAGCTACATAAATAATTGATCATTTATAGATATATAAAGTATTCTTGATAAACTAAAATCTCCGTTTCGGAGAACAATATAGAGTGCAAATGGATACACAATTAGAAGAATAAAATATGGTGGAATTGAACATTCCTCCGAAATGTTACCATTTACAAAATAGTTGTGTTGGAAAAGATTCACTTCTTAATAGAACATAATGGAGAAATTGACGAAATAAAAATATGTTCAGACTAATAACAGAAGATATCATAGATAAAATATTAAGATATATGATTGACAGAAAAATTAAAAGTAAAATAAAATATATTGGTAGTTGGAAAAGAAAAGTACCTTGATGAAGATGGGATTATCAGCTGTTAGACTTACGTAGACGAGAAAAGGTCCACACACTATTCTCGCCAGTGTGAAAATAGTGGCAAAACACACCTATCATCATTTAATAGAAGCAGAGAGGTCTTTAGGTTCTTAGAAGCTTCATACAAGATCAATAGTGTGTGGTCCGAATAAAGATTTATCTTATTTTTTCATATTGCATAACTATGATATATTGCATAACTATGATAATATTGCATAACTATGTACCGATTATGTGCGGTATGTATTGATAATATCAATGCTTTTAACCAAATAAAGATCCTGTTGAAACTATTGTTCTTGAGGTTTATGGAGATGTTGGAAGAAAGTTTACTGACATGAACTTTTACAAGGATAGGGCGATCCTTAGTCCTACGAATGATGATGTGGATCAGATTAATGATTACATGCTTTCAAAATTTCCAGGTACTATCTTTATAACTATTACAATTGTCAATATAATATTAATTATTATATCTTTCATGGTATTCATAAATAGAAATTATACTTTACAATTCTTTGGCCTCTCTATAGTATTGTTTTTACATCACTATTTCTTACCATCTTAGGTACTGATAATCTTATTATGAATATATTTCAGGTGAGGAGAAAGTATATCTTAGCTCTGACAGAATTATCCCTTCAGATAAAGACACATTGAAAGCTGTGGACTACCCAACTGAATTTTTGAATAGCATCAAAGTTTCTGGATTACCGAAGCATTGCTTGAAATTAAAGGTTGGTGCTCCAGTCATGTGCCTTCGTAATATTGATCCTAAGGGTGGGATATGTAATGGGACTAGGCTTATTATTACTCAGATGGCTCGACATGTGGTAGAAGGTAGAATTTTAACGGGAAATGAGAAATTGATTGGTCAAAAGGTTTTAATCCCTAGGATGTATGTCACACCACCAGACACTAGGTTTCCTTTTATAATGCATCGTAGAAAATTTCCTTTGGCTTTAGCTTTCGCAATGACCATCAATAAAAGCCAAAGAAAATCACTTTAGAATGTCGGTTTGTTTCTACCTAGACCAGTTTTTTCTCATGGTCAGTTATATGTTGCTTTATCTAGAGTTAAATCTCTATCTGGACTTAAAGTTCTCATCACAGACAAAGAAGGGAAAGTGCAAAAGAAAACTATGAATGTCGTCTACAAAGAAGTTTTTGATAATCTTTCTTAATTTATCTCTAGATATATTTTATCACACTTTATTATATGTTCTCACGTTTATGTAATACTTTTTATTGGAATATTTTATGATTTTTACTTATTTTGAATTGTTCATACAACAATATTACTTAATGTTTAGTTAATCATATGTAAGTATTCATAAAATAATATGTAATATATTTCAAATATTAAACGTATAAAATATATTATAGCCCGCACACGGTGCGGGCCGATCACCTAGTTTGACTTTAAATTACTAAATATTACATGAAAAAGACTAAAATGCTTATAAAACAAGAAGTAGATTTGGTTTTACAGGACCATCATAACTCAAAAACTTCAACTATAGACCATATTTTTAGTAATTGCCACTAGTAGTTGCCTCCCAATAAAACTAAAACGTAAATAAAAAAAAAAAAAAAAAATTTCTTGGGGTGTTTTAACTGATAAGAATATTCAGTTAATAATTTTCATGATCTTGATTAACCAAAAAAAAAAAGTACGAATTGTTTTTTTCGTTTTGTGTGGTTCTTTTTTTTTTTTTTGGTGGGGGAGAGGAGACAATGTCTCCTCAGATTTATTGCGAAAAAATAAAAGAAATTACAAACGAATTCTTCTCGGGTACGCAGACCCTTGAGAATCCTCATGCATCAATTGTTCAACTACAAGAGGACAACAATCAAATAAAAGTACCCGGAGAGGTAAGGAGAAAGCATAGTTAGCTAATCCGTCCGCAAGACGGTTAGCCTCTCTATACCCATGAGAAATTCGGACAAACCAGTCCTTTGAAATAAAGCCATAGCACTTACGTACTAGAGGTGACAAGGGATACGTCTCAGAAATCCCTGTCGTTAGAAATCCGACCACCAACTCCGAATCCACTACCAATTCTAGTTTAGCAATTCTACCAATATTGTGTGGTTCTTTTATTAATTTTCCATTTAGGAATTACTTGAACACAAAATTAAAAGTATTTTAGAATATATATACTCACATCGGCTGCTAGATTGAGGTTGGTATCTCTGTATCCAATCTCTTTGAGAATCTCTCTTAAATGGTAAAATGGACTCGATACCTCTGCTATCCACAATGTAGCCACGATCTCAGATCCAGACTTCCAAATTAATTTTACAACAAAATTAGTAATCCAAAATCTCATTTATCTAGTAATTATCGAAAAGAAGAAAAATGAATAGCAATACCTTTTGATAAGCAAGTCCAGCTACAAAACCAAGAATGCTGACAAAATGATGAACCGCATTATCAATACTAATCACTTGATCAAACTGGCAACATATGAGGTCGTAGATCATGTACGACAATGAAAACGCCATTGTATCCATCTGCTTGTGTATCATCTCAGTTTGTGTTACACGTGCAAAACGAGTTACTATAATAATTACAAAAATGATTAAGAGCATTGATGTGATTAAGGAACCTGTTGGGGAGATGGCTTAGAAGCACGGGGACAAACAGGACAAGACCAATCTTGAACAGAGAGAGTTGCTAAGGTGACTGCGATTGTCGCGTGAACCGTGGAGAGAAGACGGTTGCAGAAGTCGAAGGAGTAGCCTGAGAAGAGTTTTCTGGTGAGGATGAAGGTCACACCCCATGAGATTACTCCAATAACTATTATCTTAATCACTCTTATTTGTTCTTCCTCCATGTTTATAATCCTCTTCCTTGCAAATCCAAGAACTAGTATGGTTTTAGTTTTGTGATGATAAGAGATAAAGAGAGGAAGAAGCAAGGTTTGAGTGTTGTTAATAGGCTGACATTATTGGTTGTATGTTAGTTGGGAACTTGAGGATTCAATGTAGTGGATCCCAACGACATTAATTTTTCTGGTGAAACTGATGTCATAATTCACCTAAAAAGATTCGATCCAAAGATTTTGGAAGTGTTTCCTCTAGCTCCCAATCAGCCAAGCTATTTGATTAAATTGGTGATCGTATTGGTTTTCTTAGAGTAGGCAGTATGTTCTTAAGCAATGTAGAGTGAATAGAGACTAGAGACCAACATGGCTTTTCTATGAAATAAGTTGAGGTTAATTGGTTTAAAATGTCACCATCTTTAACCAATTTCTTTCAAAGTTTTTGTTTTCTACTTTTTTGGAGGATAATAAGAGATAATAACTCAAACAATTTTAAAAATTACATATATTATTATTTTTTAAGAAATTACTAGACTAATTTCCAAAACTAAGTAAAAATCTTTTAGTCTTTTTTTTTGATAAAGAAAACACTATTGTTAATAAAATATTATAATTAATAAAAGGTTCAAAACCTTTTTTTTTTAATAATAATATTGAGGGCACTTTCACCATATTATATTAGAAAGCAATACGTTAGTAGTAGATTCGATTATAATGATGAACTTCCTGTCTAGGTCTGTCTAATGATTTTTAAGTTGACTTTTGTTTGGCAGGTGATGAGTTTTCAAAATTAAAAGCATGCTGCAATGACACATCTGCTTCCGCCATGCGCCGCACCAATGAGACGGTCAGAGCGAAAGGATTATAAAAGAGAAAGCGAAGGCCATAAGAAAAAAAGAGAGAAAATGACCAAGAGACCCAAAAAGACCGAGAGAGAGAGGAAGAATGGCCAAGGACGGCCAATAATGTCGAAGCCTCCAATGAGAAGGAACTGTCGGAGTGTAGAGCCCACACCCAAACTCAACCGACCGGCCAGACTTAGCAGCATGACTAAAAGGGACATGCTTAAAATTCTCCGGAGGAACTGCCTACCGAGATAAGCTTTCTCTTCTCCCCCTAACCTCTGCTCTATCCCTATCGAGAGAGAGCTCCAACCCCACTCTCTCTATGGTCCATCTACTACACATCCATCCTCACCGAATAACATATAGGTATCACGATCCCAGTACAGAATACCCAAACCATATCACAACCATCGCGTATCCTCCCACTCGAGTACATGTTCCCAAAGGAGCGTAATCTAATTTGAGCGTCGGAAAAAGTTTGGGAGGGAAACCCTTTCGGGTTCTCCTGGAGGTCCGACTTACTTATTTTTAGTGCATACATGACCCGATCAGACTTCCATCCCGGGACCACATACCGCTCATCCCCCAAAGGAGAAAACTTGGAACTCAACTCAACTACTCAGACGATCATATACTACATATAAAAAATCCGTAATTTGCTCCCGAATAAATAATATACTGTTTGCTAACAGCATTTACGATGAGTGTCTCTAACATGTGTTTGCGACTGTCATTTATAACAATTATTTATGTTTAAAATTATGATAGATTTATTTATTTATTTGTGTGTTATAGTAAAGTTATTTGTATTATGTATAAGATCTTTTACCATTCATAGATTTGTTTTAAAATAGTTTTCCAACAAAATAATGGTCATAGAATTATTTTCTAAAAATGACGATAGATTTATTTTGATTAAATGTCAAATATATAGATTAGATGGGAAAGTTATTTACAATGCCTTTTCTATTAAAAAGAATAACAAATGAATACAATAATGAACAAAAAGTTAAAAACAATCATATTCTAAGTAAACCATCAAATTTATGTGGAAATTTGTAACTGAGAAAGATAATTCTGTTACAAATGGACTTAATTATCAACGATCTTCGTAAGCTGTTGATGAGAGTTCCAGCCTCCTTTGATGTCCCTCAAGTTACGCTCCCACCAAATGTGGTAAAGCACAACCTGGAATAATAACCAGAGAAGAATGGTATTGAGTGCACCTTTTGCAGACGAAGTAAAGAACTCAACAGTATCTCCCAATCTGATGTATCTCCTAATTTGGTGTGCCTGTAAAACTAAAGATACTAGAATGTAGCCGATTAATTCAAATAAATTCGAATACAACTTGTAACCAAAAACTTTTTTATTAGAAATCGCTTAAACAATTCTCAAGAACTTGTTTAATCAGAATGATACATCCTTACAACGATCTCAATAGACCTGTAATGTGACACTGACTAATTCCTAATCTACTCACACAGCAATAGCTGTGTTTGCTCCAAAAGGACCTAAAATCTCTTCCAAGATAGAGTGTTATAATTTCCATTAGTGCTAACCCTAACACACACACAAAAGTGTTGTATTTATACTCCCACCGCCACGCCAAACTTGCCGTGTCTTGGATACCTTGCATATTCGCAAACCATCGAATATAGTAACTTCTAAATCTTCCTTGATTCCCACGTATCCGATTTACAAGGCTCTTCTGTCTTCACGCAATATGTGTGTAACACACTTTCCAGATGTTCCACGGTTCTTGAACTTATAATCTTCTCCTTTTTGCCTGAATGTGACACCTCAAGCTACCTGTCATGTTAGTCTTAGAAACATACACTCATACGCAGCAATCACAGCATAGTCAAGCAAAAGACATTCATCGATAGATAAGTAAAGCACATTTCACATCCCTTAGCAGGCTAAGATTGTTCAGAAGAAACGCAAAAGAAAATAAAAATGAAACTAGCCGAGAAGGGTTCAAAGAACACACACAAAAAACGGACATCAAGTGTCTTCGGTCGGATACACAAAAAGAAATGATCATATCATCTTAGTCATCCGCTTCATACTCGTGTATTCCTCCAAGGCCGTCATCAGGCTCCTCTCCATCCTCACTCTCGTCATCTGAATCCTCTGGTGAATTGTCATTTCTGAGTGACGCCATTTTGGGATCAAAACGATAATCTTCCACTACTTGAGTGCATATTCAAGGTAAAAACAAACAATGGTCAAGTCTGATAGAGAAGAAGTGACAGTGAGAGACAAGCACTTACCTTTGAGACGCTGTTGTATCTTTCGAATGGACTTGGACAGTTCCGAGAGATCAGCTGATAAGGAAGGAACCCATTCTGGTTCTTTTCTGCCAGATCTGCGTCCTGCCCTGGGGGTCCATAGTGATCTTGGAAGGATAGCAGATCAGCGGACCATCACCACGATGTCCTGGTATAATACTCTGAAAGGTAAGGAGCTGGTAGATGAGGTTTGGGAACGGGAGAACTCGATCAACCGGAGCAGGATGCTTAGCAATGGTTCGAGTTCGAGAAACTCACTCGCCGGAGGCATGCGAGAGTCGACTTGGTCCTCCTCTTCTGAAATATTCTCACTGGACCTTGACTGAGTTGCATGCGAGGTGCATACAGAGCGATGACTCGAAGTAGAACCAGCCGGCAGAGGTTTCTAGTGAAGTTCGAGTTGATCATCTTCGAGGTCATGGACAATCATCGGGGCCTTGCCAGATCGCTGATTGGGATTCTGAAGTCGAAGAAGAGCATCAGCGAGGGTTACGTTGTCACAAAGGATGGATCTGCTGATACGCGCAGATTCAAAAAGCGCTTGTCGAGCTTGAGATCTCGTGTTGCGAACATGAAGCATGGTGAGAGCTTGAGGAGGATTTCTTAGGGTTTTTCTGAGACAGAGAGAAACACCTTTGTGGCACACGAACGGACAGATTTCGTATATAAACGGCGGTAACCCTAGAAGCACAGCTTACACAATTAAGCCCATTAGTACACAAGAAGAGCAATTAGGCCCATATCAAATAAAGTGTACGTGCTGAAGCCCAAAACTAAAGAAAAAATTGTCTAACACTCGATTTTTATGTATCAAAGCACACATTCTAGAACCACTAGTAAGGACCCCATGAAGTAATGAAACACAAAGCTTTTTAGAAAATTGCAACAAAACATATAACGTGAACATAAACACACTTGACCCTGTTGAAACAATTAGAGGGAGGATATACACATGGCAGTAGTAGCTAGTAAGAACCAAGGTAAATTACAAAACTTTTTGATGCACTTGTAGGCTCAAATGTGCAGACATCTCAGCTGAGATACTTTCACACATTCAATCACTCAATCTAGTATAATAGAGCTTGTTTTGTCAAAAAGACTTCCTGGTGTACAGAATCTAGAAACTAAGAGGCTGATCAGCTGATTCACACACATTTTTTTTTCTTTTCTTCCTTTTTTTCTAGAACCACTTTGGCTACACACTATTAGTAGATCATTGTATGCAGCACCACTCAGCTGAGTTGCTTTCACATACTAAAAAAAACAATGTGACCGGATCTTCTATAGGACGTGTGCAGCTCAATCATTTGAAGAACTGATTAAGACTGTGATCATGACTACAACCGATATTAGTAAAGATTGTGACAGCAATCAAAATGGGTGTCAATCATTTCACTCAATTATGTAATTTTATAGCCTCTCTTTGTTCTAGACTATCTCATCCAAACAATGATGAAGAGAAGGAACCATAAGATGAATGCATCCTAGGGTCAATCTTAAGTGTTCTTCTCTTGACACATACACTATCGAGTTTTCTCTAACAAACCGAACACCTACCACCACTAAATCAACTGATTTGCCTATAAGAGTTTTTATAAAAAAATACAGAGCCTTTTAGACGCAAGCTACTACCTTTCTCTCCCCCTGAGATTAAGCCAATTACAGTTCACTAACACCTAAAGCCTTTCTAAGAAAGACAAGGTATTCAGATCAAGTGGTTTAGTAAAAATATATGCCAGTTGGTTTTCAGATGCAACATGTTTGATGACAACAAGTTTTTCCTCAACTAGTTCCCTTACAAAGTGATGCCTTATGTCAACATGTTTGGTCCGTGAGTGTTAAACTGGATTTTTCGAGATATCTATTGCACTTT